GTGGTTGTTATAATCATGATCGTGGTTGTTATAATCATGGTCCTGGTTGTTATAATCATGGTCCTGGTTGTTATAATCATGGTTCTGGTTGTTATAATCATGGTCGTGGTTGTTGTAATCATGTCGTGGTTCTTATAATTATAGTCGTGGTTATCATCATAGTCGTGGTTGTTATAATCATGGTCGTGGTTGTTATAATCGTTGTCGTGGTTGCTATAATCATGGTCGTGGATGTTATATTCATGGTCGTGGTTGTTATAATCATAGTAGTGGTTGCTATAACAATGGTCGTCATTGTTATAATCATAGTCGTCGTTGTTATAATCATGGTCGCAGGTGTTATAATCATGGTCGTGGTTGTTATAATCATGGTCGTGGTTGTTACAATCATAGTCGTGGTTGTTATAATTATGGTCGTGAGTGGTATAATCATGATCGTGGTTGTTATAATCATGGTCGTGGTTGTTATAATCATGGTCGTGGTTGTTATATTTATGGTCGTTCTTGTTATATTCATGGTCGAGCTTGTTATAATCATGGTCGTGGTTACTATATTCATGGTCGTGGTTGTTATAATCACAGTCGTGGTTGTTATAATCATGGTCGTGGTTGTTATAATCACAGTTGTGGTTGTTATATTCATGGTCGTGGTTGTTATAATCATTGTCGGGGTTGTTATAATCACAGTCGTGGCTGTTATAATCATGGTCGTGGTTGTTATAATCATGGTCGTGGTTGATATAATCATAGTCGTGATTGTTATAATCATAGTCGTGGTTTTTATAATCATGGTCGTGTTTGTTATATTCATGGTCGTGCTTGTTATAATCATAGTCGTTGTTATTATAATCATAGTCGTGGTTGTTACAATCATGACCGTGAGTGTTATAATCATGGTCGTGGTTGTTTTAATCATATTCGTTGTTGTTATAATCATGGTCGTGAGTGTTAGAATCATGGTCGTGGTTGTTATAATCATATTCGTGGTTGTTATAATCATTGTCGTGTTTGTTATAATTATGGTCGTGCTTGTTATAATCATGGTCGTGGTTGGTATATTCATAGTCGTTGTTGTTATAATCATGGTCGTGGTTGTTATAATCATGGTCGTGGTTGTTATAATAATATTCGTGGTTGTTATAATCATGGTTGAGGTTGTTATAATCATAGTCGTTGTTGTTATAATCATCGACTTGGTTCTTATAATCATGGTCGTAGTTGTTATATTCATGGTCGTGGTTGTTTTAATCATAGTAGTGGTTGTTATAATCATGGACGTGGTTGTTATAATCATGGTCCTGGTTGTTATAATCATCTCCTGGTTGTTATAATTATGGTTGTGGTTGTTATAATCATAGTCGTGTTTGTTATAATCATGGTCGTGGTTGTTATAATCATGGTCCTGGTTGTTATAATCATGGTCCTGGTTGTTATAATCATGGTCCAGGTTGTTATAATCACGGTCGTGGTTGTTATAATCGTGGTCGTGGTCGTGAGACGTACAGTATCTAATGTATTATAAGAAGAAATAGAATAAAGGTTAGAATAATTAGTTCAAGAAATATTAGCCATAAGGAGAGGTTAAAATAATAAAAAAAATGATTATGAATCAATAATGATCATTCCGAGATAAATTATATTATGAAGAGAAGTTACCTTGATTCTGGTTAGATTAGTCACCATCTGCTTAAGTCATCACCTGTGTTAAGTCATCATAGTCATTATCTATGTTAGTCAGTTTTAGGCCCGTCTCACATGACTGACCGACCATCGATGTTCTTTCCGCGCGAGGGTGTTAGTTTTCAATGCGTCTTATTATTTACGCTGGTGGATGTAAGACCTCCTGCCCTCACTGACGCAGTTATGGTCAATTTGGTGTTATTCTTGTTTATAAATGCCTTCTAATCTGTGTCAAGTCTATCCGTCCTGTCTATTGCCATCCGAACTGTCTGTTCGTCTGCTTGGTGTTTGAATGTAAGCCTGTCTTTACTAATGTGAACCAGTCAGTCAGCTGTCTGTCTGTCGTATTAGTTGCCATTGTCTATTTGTGCGTGTATGAATCTGTCTATTTTTGTCAACCTCCTATCAGTTTCACTATCCATATTCACCCTGTGTCTATTGTAGTCATCTTCTCCATGCATTCCTGTTATTATCTTTTTATCTCTTCTCCTTTTCCACCCACAGGAATAAGTTTACACTGTAGCTCTAAGGTCGTTTGGTAACTGCGCATCCAGACGCATGATGAAACTCAGCTGCCCCCTACCTGTTATCTCGAACTATTTTCTGTTTCCCCTTCTTTATTTAAAAGTCTATTTACTCATCTTCCTTCCTTTACTAATCCAAACAACATAAAAAAAAAGTAGGCTAAGAAAAAAAGTGGGGGGAGGAGGAGGGAGCCGTATGAAAACTGCAATCGTGGGCTGGGTGCTCCAAGTCCGTAGACTTGCATCGTTTTCCAGCGTAAATAAAATGGTTATGTAATGGCTTCCTAAAGAAACCATCGATATGGGACAAGGTTTGTTCCACTGTACGAATTTTTTGCGATTTTTCCACCAAGTTTTATGAAAAACGATTGTGCAGTTTCGGCTGCCCAGAGCAGACACACACACACACATACACACACACACACACACACACACACACACACACACACGCCTAGCGCTATAGTATATTAGATATTAGATACTGCATCCTGTTGGACAGATGAGGTAACCAATTGCGGGACAGGCCTCTAACGCCGTAATGTTCAAGCTTTCAAAGGAGGATTGTATGGTCGACAGTATCGAAGGCCTTAGAGAGGTCCAAGAATATACCGACTGTGTTATCTGACTGTCATCAAAGGAATTTAAGATGTCATTAGTAAAGGATAGCATAGCACTCTCAGTTGACCTTCTAGCTCTAAATCCAAACTGGGAGTCTGTAAAGATGTTATTGGCATTTCAGAAGGAATTTAGTCTACTACATGCTAGTTTCTCCAGTATCTTACTCAAGGCTGGGAGGACTGATATGGGGCGGTAATTCTTGAAGAGACTTTTGTCCCCAGATTTTTTATATGCTGGGTGAACTTTAGCAATTTTCAGTTTATCCGGAAAGACACCACTCGTGAAGGAGGAGTTACAAATGTGTAGAACAGGTAGTAATAAGTGGGCTACTTTCTTAATGATACTCATTGGTATATTGTCTTCGCCTGCTGCTGCATCTTTGGACATTTTTATGATGACCAGTAATTCATCTGCTGTGACAGGGGATAAGAATAGCTCATTTTGCTGTCTGTTTTGCAGGTGGGCTCTAAATTCTTCATGATGATCAGGGATGCTCTGTGCAAGATTTTTGCCAACATTAATAGAATATTCATTTAAGTGATTGGCAATGAGGGAGGGTTCCGTTACAACTGACTCATTTATCATAAAAGCTGAGTGGGGGGCCGAAGGCTGAGTGTTCCTGTTCTGAATAGAATTTATGATATTCCAGGTTTTCTTACTGTCACCTGATGCTGACTGGAGCTTATTTGTATAATAGCTATGTTTGGCATTTCTAATTGCTTGAGTTACTCTATTTCTGATACTTCGGTTAGCATCACCGAAAGTCATGGGTCTTTTTGCAAATTTCCTTTGGAGTTTGTGTTTTTCTTTTATCATTATCTTAATTTCGCTTGTGATATAGGGTTTCAAAATGGATATAGTTTTCACTGACTTAGTCTTGAGCATTTATCAAAGCAAGCATTGAAGATGCAAGAGAAGTTGCAGCTGTTCACGTTAGGGTTGTCGGAGGCATAGACAGGATCCCAGTTAGCATTCATTAGGTTGTTTTCATAAAGGAGCATGTTGTCGGTGCAGTAGTCTCTGTAATGTATTGAGACTCTCCTAGACCTTTCAGGTCTTGTGGCTGCTTTATACATGGCAAAAACTGGGAAGTGATCTGAGATATTGTTATAAATAATTCCACTTGCAAGATTGTTAGGAGTGTTGTTCGTCCAGAGATGATCTATCACAGTGGCAGAAGTGGCAGTTACTCTAGTGCAGTGGTTCTTAACCTGGGGGGCGTCACTAATTTCCAGGGGGGGGCGCAAGCCCAGGGAAAAAGTAGGAATTTCTCGAATTATAATTATAGTTTTTATTCTCTTAACAAGAGCGTGGGCTAATATTGAGAAGTTTATGAAAAAATGCAAAAGTATCGCCTTATAACTTTAGTTTTCTATAGGCTACTTTTTTTACTTAGGGCCTACCATTTTCTGTACTTATTGACCCCCCTCCCTATCCCTCGAAACCCATGGGGGGGGGGGGTTAACTCGTCCTGGACCTGTATACTGCTCGTTGGTGACTGGTGAGCCCCGTTCTCTCCCAGTCTTCTGCACACGTCCGTGGCAATAATTCCTCTCACATTTATTCAGTTAAAGCTGTTGAGGTATATTTTATCCCAGTTGTTATATTTACCTAAAAATAGTAAGCAGCCATAACTTTATTGGTGAATTGTGAACACACATGTGTTGCTCTGTTTGTTATTCGCAAGTTTTGAATTCCTTTTGTATTTTATCAGAAGTTGGTGGTGCTTAAAATCATGTGGTGGTAACAGGTGGTTATGGTAAAGTTGTATTTATGATGACATTGATTTGTTTCTTAATAATCATGTGTTTATGATCATGATGTGTTTACTATAATGTTGTGGTGTTCATATTTACTTAATAATTATGTGGTGGTGTTTATGCTCATGTAGTGGTGCTTATGATCATGTTGTGATCATTGATGTTTGTTAATAATCATGTGGTGTTTATGATCATGTGATGTTTGTTAATGATATGGTGGTGTTTATGATCATGTATGATTGTAGTCACTTGTAGTGTTTACGAACTTTACGATCATATGTTTGTTATTGATCATGTGGTTGTGATTATCATGATGTTGTGGTGTTCATGAGCACGTGGTGAGGTTTATCTTACCTTACACTTGCCTTGTGTTTTGTTCACAGATTTGTGTTGTCCACTGCACATCAAATAATTCGCAATGAGTGCAAAGAAGCGGAAGTATCTTGAATATATTCGATTTGGATTCGTGTCTCTCCAAAAGGGTGACACAGAGGTCCTCCAGTGTGTGATATGTTACAAGACTCTGAGCAATGATGGAATGCGGCCCTCACGCTTGGAACGCCACTTAAGGACAACACATCCTGCTCTAGCTGACAAGCCCAAGGCATTCTCTGAAACAAAAAGACACTCCTTGAAGCAAGTTAAGTTGGACGGCAGTTTGGCATTTCGGCAACAAACTTCAAAGGTTGTTGAGGCTTCTTATGAGATCGCCATGTTGATTGCAAAGAGCAAGAAGAGCCATAGCATCGGAGAGTTTCTCATAAAACCAAGCATACTCCGTGCAGCAGCAGCAGAACTCGTTCTGGGGAAAAAGAGTGCAAACAAGCTTTCCCAAATTTCACTATCAAATGATACAGTCAAGGAAAGCATCGATGAATTGTCTCAAGACACCAAAGATCAAATTCTCGTCCAAGTAAGAGATTCTCCTGTTTTTGCCATCCAGTGTTCTCAGCTACTGATGTATGCTCGTTTCGTGTCAGGCAACAGTGTAAAAGAGGAAATGCTGTTCTGTCACCCCATGGAAAGTTGTACAGCAGCAGCAGCTATTTTTCATGATGTATCAAACTTCTTTCAGGAAAACCAACTTTCGTGGGACTCGCTGGTAGGGGTGTGCACTGATGGAGCTCCAGCCATGCTTCGTCTGCAGTCTGGATTCATTACAATGGTGAAAGAAAAAATCCGTCTGTTGTAGGTACACACTGCATACTTCATCGTGAATCCTTAGTATCCAGAACTTTATCTGCTGAAAAGAAGGATGTCCTGAACGTGGCTATCAAGGTAGTCAACTTTATCAAAGCTGGAGCCTTAAACAGTCGTCTCTTCAAACTGCTGTGTAAGGATATGGAATCTGAACATGAAACCTTACTTTTTCACACGAACGTACGATGGCTATCAAAGGGGAACATGCTTGGACGGCTTTATGAACTACGAGAAGAAGTAGTAATATTTCTTGATTCGAAGCAGAAGGCAGATCTCCATGACAAGTTAAGGCTTTCAGTTATCTCTAGCTTACCTGGTGGACATCTTCGAAGCGTTGAATGCTCTCATCCTTAAACCACAAGGGAAAAACATCAACATCATCAGGCACCACGACACCATTCGAACCTTCATGGCCAAACTCGATCTCTGGAAGTGTCGAATTCAGCAGGGAAATACCACCAGTTTTAGTAACTTGGATTCTGCTCTCATTCACGGTAACTTTGATTCTGAGTTAAAGAAACAAATAATCACTCATCTAACTGACTTGAAAACAGAATTCATCAGATACTTCCCAGAGATAGATGAGAAGCGTGAAGCCTGGAAATTCATCAGGAACCCATTTCAATGTAAAGTAGCTGATACTTCGGATGAAATGCAAGAGGAGTTTCTTGAGTTGAAGTTCAACTCCACAGCTAAGGAAGACTTCAAAGAACTGGATCTTGAGACGTTCTGGGTCAAGTACCTTCCTGTTTACCCTCTGATCTCACATCAGGCTCTTCGGATTCTAACTATGTTCGGATCCACGTATCTTTGTGAAGCTGCATTTTCCAAGCTCGTTGCTGTCAAGACCAATTTCAGAAACAGGCTGAACGTTGAAGGGGATTTACGTTGTGCACTCTCTGGCATTCAACCACGCATTCAAGATCTAGTGGCTAAGAAGCAGTGTCAAGTATCTCACTAATTTATACTCAATAACAAGACTAAAAACACAATAATTTTAATTTTTCTTTAAAATCTGGGAGGGAATTTTATTCATAGATGCAAGGGGGGCGTGGAGGGAAGGACCAATTCCTAGAGGGGGCGTGGTAGTAAAAAGGTTAAGAACCACTGCTCTAGTGGGTTTGGTTATAGTGTTGAAGAAGAGTTTAGAATGACAGGTAGCAAGAAAGTCTGATACTGAGGTGTCGGTTTCTGATTTTAATAGATCGAGGTTGAAATCTCCTGTAATGTAGCAACGTTTCCTCTCTGAACTTATAATAGGATAAGCTCCATAAATTTATCAAGAAAATTCCTTACATTAGTATGGGGTCTTCTGTAGATTACTCCTACTAGGATATTTCGTGTGTCGTTATAAAATTCAATGAAAACACTCTCCATGTACTCCTCCTGATCCTTTAAATCATATCTTACAGAAGTGGTATACTTGATATCAACATATATGGCGACACCACCACTGTGTCGTGACGTGTTGACGCAGTGTCTATAATAATTAGGAATGTTATGAAAATATTCAATATCGTTAGTGAGTTTGGTCTAACAGAAACCAAGTACATCAAATTTGTGGGCAATAGAAGATAAACACTGATCTAAAAAGGTATCTAGATGAAGGGAAATACTGCTGATGTTATGGCTAATCAAGCAGAAGGAATGAGGTAGTAGAAGACTAGAACTAAACTCGGGAGAGTCAAGAAAGCAATAGTTACAGTTGGGGTTGGTGTAACCCAGTGAGTTTTGTAGAAAGACATCAGGATCGATATGAGGAAGTATTGTGTCACCACGGGTAAATGGGGTGTAACACATACGATCTACCACATCTAAGGGAATGACACTAGCATTATCATTGTGGGAACATTGATACTGATTAAGAAACAGTAAAAACTCAGGGTCACTGAGGTGTGAAAAAAGGAAGATCTATGAAAATTATAATAGTGAGGGGGGGTAACGTACTCACAAGTGCTACAACCAACAGAATTAGGATGACCGGTACTGCTGAGGGTGATTCCCAGATAGAGTGGCGGGTGCGCCTGTCACTCGGTTTTGAGTGTTGCTGGTTTCCACTGCAAAGGGTAGACGTGAAGAAACCGTTAAAAGTTTGTTGTCATCGTGGTCTTCATGTTGGATGGGATGGAAGTAACTAATTAATAACAATAGACCCGTAAATTGGTAAAAACAAAATGTGACCAAACAAATGATAATGGTGGAGGCGACGGCTAACACCAGAAGTAGGTGTTCGATTACGTTCATTTTTTCCACAGATGTTTTTTGGATGATAGTGAGTAATAAAAACGATATGACAATGCACAAAACCTAACAGAATCTGGCTTAACCAAGCTAACCAATGAAATCTACCTCACCATACCTAACTTCCTAACCAGCAGTTCTCTGCCGCATTTTAAACATTTGCACACCCAGTGAGACGACTACCTTCAGTCTGTTTAGAGAACTAAAGTGGAGCCCAGTTATAAGCACAGTGTCGCTTGTGAAATTTATAGTTGCTGGACTTAGGCAATATTATAGATAAAATATCTGGACTTCCTGCCTGGACCCTCTGGTCGGTTATTTTCGTATCTGCGCAGGCGCAGTGCGAAGAGCGTGACGTTGAATGACGTGGTAGTGACGTCGTTGCCTCTCCATCTCGCCTGTGACCGAACACAAGCATTGCACAATGCCTGGGGAGAGTGGTGGGCAGAAACCTATGAAGGCTTTGGCTAAAGAAGAAAAGATTGCCCTACTGAACAACTTAGAAGACGACCTGAGGCTTTCAAGTAGTGAATCAGAAGCAGACAATCCGCGGCCAACAACAATAGAAGTGATAGACAATTTTCAAGAAGTGATTAGTAAGAAAGAAAAGAAGAGGAGGCGAAGAAAAGTGAAGGAAGCGACAGTGATGAGATCATGAATGATAGGAAGAAAAGGACGACACACACAGAAGGAAGCAGAAAGAATTCAACTGGGAATAAAACACAGCAGGTCTTGACTGAATCCAACACCCTTCAACAGTCAGACCCCAGTGATTATGACAGTGACGGTAATGTTTCTATGGGAAACACTAGCCACAGTGGAAACAGCAATGCCATGGACCCTATCACCATGCCCTCTGCCAAACAAACAAGTAAGCTGAATCTCCACTTTCCCAAGGACTCATTAAAATTTGTCGAGGATCGGTTTAATTGGATGATGAAGTACTGCAGACAGCATGGTCCCAACATTCAATTCCGACAAGGTAAGAACCGGAACTTTATCAAGTGTCAGACTCCTGAAGTCTATAAAACCCTTAGTACTGTTGGCTTTGACGGGGTTGTCCTAGTGGCCCCTCCAGCAGACGCTGATGAATGTTGCCACATCCTAGTGAAACGATTCCCCCTATACGCTGACATCGAAGATGCACGTGACTTTAATTCTAATATACTCAGTATACGTCGACATTACCGGGGACACACTCCACAAGCTGCTGTTATTGTCAAGTGGAAGGGAAGGGTATGTCCAACCACTGTGGAAGCCCATCCAATCCTTCCACCACTTTATGCAGAGCCCTATCATCCTGGGCCTGCATTTTGTGTTATCTGCTCTCATTGGGGTCACACCTTCACTGCCTGCTGCCGACGTGATCGTCCTAGATGTCGCTTCTGCTCACGTAACCACAACTCCGCCGCCTGTGCCCAGAAAATCAAAGACCACCTTAATAGGGGTGGTGTGGGCTATGTAGTTGAGCCCAGGTGCTGTAACTGTGGCGGCCGGCACAATGCTGACTCACGGCAGTGCCCCAGTCGCCCTTCTGTCCCAGGGGAGAGGCCTCCCCAAGGGCTGCGTCTACCACAACGCCCCCCTCAGTCTACTGGGTCACCTGCCCCTGCCTGGCTTCACCAGGCTGCACCACAACAGCACCTACCATTCCCTAACTCAACCACTACTGAGCCTCCTCCCCGTCTCTACTCTGACGCTATCAAGCCTCGTGTTCCCACCAGTTCCCCCCCACAACCCCGTCGCTACTCTGACGCAGTCAAGCCTTGTGCCGCCACCAGTGCCCCCCCACAACCCCGTCTCTACCCTGACGCTGTCAAGCCTTGTGCCGCCACCAGTGCCCCCCCACAACCCCGTCTCTACCCTGACGCTGTCAAGCCTTGTGCCGCCACCAGTGCCCCCCCACAACCCGTCTCCAGTGACATGACACAGATCATGTCCCTCTTCCAAGAATTTACCAGTCATGTTGAGAAACTCTTGGTTACACTCTGTACCGCCATCTCCGACCTACACCGCCAACTCCTGCCCTTTGCTGCCACCCAGTCACTCCCCTCTTTTGGTTTGACACAAGCTGGTAGTCCCCCTGTGAGCCCCCCCTGCTCACAGGTTGTGTGTACTGGGGCCCCCGAGCCAAGCCCTGCCTCATCTTTACGTCACGTGGTGCCTCAACCTGTCTACCCACCTCAAGCCTCGCCTGCTCCTGTGTCTGTGCTGTCTCCACCAGGGCTACCTATTGGACCTGAGGACTCCACCCCCGGCTACCCATACTCCACCGACATGCCGGCACCTAAGGCCCATCCGTCCACGTCAGGGGTAATCAGTCTAATACACCACAATGGATAGCAACGCTACAGGACTGCAGGTACTCACCTGGAACATAAACGGCTTGCAAAGCAAGTTTGGTGCCCTCAAAACCTACGTCTACACTGAAGACGTCGACGTGCTGTGCCTCCAAGAAACGCGGTGTGCTGCTGGTACCTATGTGCTCAGTGGCTACACATGTGTTGAGAGCCCATCCACTCCTGTTCTCCGCATCGACGGACTACCACGAAGCCATGCACGTGGACTACGGATCTACGTCAAGAAGGATGTCCCCTACCAACCTCTCGACGTCCCCCTTGATGACGACACCACCGACGCACATGCCATCACAATCACACTAAAAGGTATGTCCCTCAATATTGTCAATGTCTATGTGCCTCCCTCCACCCGTACTGTACCTATCCTACCACACCATATCACCTCCACCCCCACCCTCCTTGTGGGGGACCTCAATGCCCGTCACCCTAGTCTCGGCTCCCAGGGGCCCCACTCAAACTCCCGGGGTAACTCCTGGGTCCCCTACCTACAAACCACTGATGACCCTGTACGTCTTCTCTGCCCTCCATCACCCACCCACATCGGGGGAGGGAAACTTGACTACATAGCTCTCTACTCTGACCCTCACCGCCCACACTCCACCCGCATCCTCCACTCCCCCCACAGTGACCATTTCCCTATCCACACTACCCTCCAGTATGTGAGAATACCCGTTCCACCCAAGGGCCCTAGGCTCAGCCTACCCCCTGCCAACATACCTGCCTTCATCACTACCATTGCTGAATAGTTTCAGGGTTACACTGTCACCACCGCAGACCAACTCTACCTTGATCTGTCCAAACAATGCACTGACCTCCTCCGCCCTGTCCCAAAACACCGCCGCCCTAACCGCCAACCCAGGAGTCAGTGGAACGTTAACCGTGACCCTCATGTTAAGTCTATCCGAGTATGGCACCGAATAGCAGTCGACCAGTGGAAGAAATCTCCCAGCTCCCCTGACTCTCTACGCTTCCTGATGCGCACAAATAAAGAGCTCCAATCTGCCATCACTCTCGCACGAGAGAAGCAGTGGTTTGATTTTGCTTCTTCTATTGACCAGTGTACATCTATAGGTGATATATGGCGCACCATTAACCGTGCCCGGGGCACCAACGCGAGACCCGCGCTCCACCCCAGACCAGCTGCCCGAGCTCAGGCGCTCTCCCAGACGTGGCAGGAGGCCGCCTCCATTGATGCGCTACCACCCGCTGTACGAGACCTCACCCTCGCACTGCAACCACAACGCCGACAGCGCATCTTTGAGTACCAAGACCTATTTGCAGACACTGACGTGCCTTTCACACAGTGTGAACTACTAAATGCTGTTAAGCGAGGTCGGTCCACCGCCCCAGGCGATGATGGCGTCACATATGATGTGTTAAATGCCCTTATTGCCACCCCTGGTAACCCCCTCCTCTGTCTATTTAACCTCTCTTTTGATACTGGTCAACTGCCTCACTTATGGAAGACTGCCACCACCATCCCAGTCCCTAAACCAGGCAGACAAGATGAATATCGTCCAATATCCCTCATCTCCTGCTTCTCAAAGATGATGGAGCGCATGATACGCCACCGCCTCCACTGGAAAATTGAAGCCCATCTGCACCCTGACCTCTATGGTTTTCGCCCCGGAAAGAGTACTGCTCACTGCATCGCTCACTACATGGCAAACACCTCCGCCAAAACCTCCCTCTTCGTCGACTTCAAGGGTACTTTTGATAAAGCCAACAGTGAAGTGATCCTTGAGGGCCTCACTCACATGGATGTGAAGGGCAAACTCCTCACGTGGATTGCTGACTACTTCTCCCATCGACAGGCCCGTGTCCGTTTTCAGGGCCACTACTCTAAGATCAGGGACCTTGATCTTGGCACGCCTCAGGGAGGTGTACTCAGCCCTACACTCTTCAATGTTCTCATGAACTCCATCTGCCGTCTCAACGTCATCTTTGCTGAGCGCGCCCTAGACGGTCACATCATAAGCTACGCTGATGATATTCTCCTCCAAATTACTACAGCGCAACATGAACAACCTATACTCTCCACGTTCGCCCGGACCTGTCAAACACTCGGGCTGGTCATCTCACACACTAAAACCAAGTTCATCTCACGCTTCCGGCGTCAGACACCACTGACTCTGCAAGGACAAGACATCGATCAAGTACACACCTACAGGTACCTTGGTCTACCTGTGCGAGCCACTACCAGAGCCACCACCTCCGCTGTCGCCGCCCACGTCATCTCCCAGTGCCGCCAACGAACGAGGCCCCTCCAGTCCCTCACTCACGGCCTCAAAGGAGCCTCTGTCAGGGTCCTACGTCTCATGTACATTACCATCGTCAGAGCTGTCATAGATTATGCCTCTCCTGTCCTTGTAGTTGCCTCCCAGCGCAAGAAACAAAGCACAGAGAAAATGCAAAACAGAGCGATGAGACTCATCCTAGGCTGCCCTATGACCACCAGAATAGAAGTCATGCAGCGCGAACTAATCCTGCTTCCCGTCTGCGATCGAATTACTGCTCTCAATGCCATCCTTGGTGTTAAACTTCTTCGCAGTGAGCAACCGACTCCCCTGTCGCGCTCACTGAACTCACATCTTAACACCCTCCTGCGCCGGCCTGTCCCCATTACTTTCCCCCCTCCCTCTCAACTCTGGCCCGTCCACACTGCTGCTGACATCCTGCGTTATCACCTCTACACCCCCTCGACCTCTCTCCCTCCCGAGTACACTCATCCGCCTCTCCCGCCGTGGACTTTCCCGTATGTTGATGTTGTCGTCCACACCTTCCCTGGTCGTAAATCCATCCAACTGAGGTATATGCTCAAACTTAACTGCCTTGAGCAGATTAATGATGTCGCCTCCTCTCTAAAGACCTCCCACCCTCCTATCCTCGTCTTCTGTGATCGGTCTGTTACCACGCTGGGCAGCGCTGGGGCAGCTGCGTGGATTCCTGAGCGCCAGGCCTGCAGGAAAATCAGGGTCCACGACTGGGCCTCCTCCACTGATGCTGAAAGCATAGCCATCCTCGTGGGCATTCATGAGGGGGCGACCTATGCTCCCACTGAACGCCGGAACCTCCTTATAATCAGTGACAGCACTTCTGCGCTAGCGAGGCTCAAATTACCCTCCCCCTCCTCCTCTGCCGCCCAACACACCCTAGCCGCCGTTGCCGGACTAGAACAAACTGATGACATCCGTGTCAAGTTTATTTGGATCCCGTCACATATAGGAATAACTGCCTGTGACACTGTTGATCGGCTTGCCAAAGAAGCTACACAAGAAGAAGATATTGAAGCCACTCTCGCCCTCTCCCTGAATCATCTCAAATCTCGCATACACGCCACACAACGAGAGGCATTCAACGAAAATTGGACACACCTGAAACAACGGGGTAGCATCACACTATGCCACTATGACGCTGTAACCGGTGACGACAACCGCCATTACAAAGAGTATCAATCCCTTACTCGATCTCAACAGCTTATATACATGAGACTGCGCCTTGGGTACAGGTACCTATGGGAGTACATTGGCAACCCTGAGCCTCACCGCACTGTTTGTAAACTTTGTGGCCAACCCGACTCTCACACCCTCTCTCACTACATCCTCACTTGCCCTATAACCCCCAGACCAGATATCCCTCCTCCTAGTCACAGGCCTGGCATTTGACATTATTAGGGACCTGCCACTCTTTGCCATAAACAGATGAAATGTACCGGGAACTTTCCCCCCACACACTCATCATTCTCTCACTTTATGGAACTTGACAAAACCTATGACCCTTCAGGCTTTTACGCCCTTAATGTACGAGTCATAAAGGCAAGTATGAACTTTTCATACTTCCCAGATGGGCGCTATAAACGCTTCTGCGCTTCAACTTGCACAGGATGTAAGGGGGTGCCCAATAAACTAGCCCCCTCGGGGGGCAAATCTGAAATCTGAATCTGATTTGCACACCTACCAACTAGTCCATGTTGACAGGTGAACTCTTGAGGATGGTCTGCATCCTCTACATGCACATATAAATTGCGATATGATACCGAACAGGACGCGATAAAAACGCCATTGAAAAACAACCTGACTTTCTTCTCCAGCAGTCCTCTTAGAGGAAGAACAATATGTATAGAAACATACGGTTCACTATCAATACTATGAGATTCCAATCTAACACAGAATGGGTTCAAGAACGAAATGCGTTTAGAGAAAAAAGAAAGGGATTTGTGCAACCTATAAACACGAGAATCAGGAAAGTGAAACCTATAAAATTGTGGTTAACTTTTAAACTCTTCAACCTGTTTATCTCTTAATTTCTTATTTCATTCATTTTCTCCATTAGTTCTGTCTAGTTATTTCATTTCCTACAGTTACTTTATAACCACTGACCTTTGGTAGCATGGCCAGGGTTTGAGCACATGGGTTCTGTAATTCTGGTATCAAGCTATTAGACAAGAATAAAGGTAGATACTGAGGGAAAATGATACCCCTAACATACTCTAAAAAATCTTTTATTAATATGAAATTAAATTTGGTTAAAGATGTCATTAACATACAACTACAAGGATCAACTCCTTGGCTTTACCCATCTACAATTCCAGTTAGATACTCTCGCTTCTTGCATCATTACTGGTTGCACATTTAAAAGAACACACCACATGGCAGGCTTATATATGGCACCTTCACTAAAACTCAGTTGGGAGTACATATGAATGATGTACTCACAACCCGCATAATAAGCGTTATTACTGGTAACATCAATATTTATGGGTTTATATTCAACATGGGAGAACTATATTTCTGCTAGTTATCCATGTAAACGCCCAATGAGCGACTGTGGGATAATCAGACCCTTGCACGTAGGACTCGATTGTTCGTTATTCGGTCAAAACCTGCAGAGAGTAAATTACATATGTTACATATGAGATAATTAATTCATTCGTACGTTCCTTCACTATTAACAACTACTGTTAACGCTCATAGGAGCGTTATTGGTTTGTTGTTGGAGAAATAAACCCTCAAAGTTGAATCGTACCATATAATTCGGTCAAAACCTGTTAAAGAACAATTCACATATAACAAATGCTGTTATCTCAGGACACATAGTATGAATAATACAATCAATATACAGTACATAGCCTGTTAACATCTTAAATATAACTCACATGTTACATCTGTTGATACATCAGGAGACAAGTTGTATAATATGATCAAATTACAGTACTATTACGAACCACGCCATCTATTGTGTCATGATCTAACTACCCAGCATTACCTAGCAACGCCATCTAGGGACGCGACCCGAGTATGACTAGTCTTAGTCACCACTCCGGGTTTCCTTTCTCCATATCCTGGTTGTTGCGTCACCTCCTCCAACCCTTCCTCATCAGCTACGGATTGAGGAGAGTTCAGTTCACTCTGGGAAGTGACCACACTCGGATTACCTATTCTGGAAACCTACGGCACAGTGACTACCTACCATCTTCTTCAATACTCAGCCCTACTCGTCAGACACTTCAGCACCACACTTGAGTATTGCAACCCTATATTACCTCCAACCTCCACTTGCTTCAGATTGTTGTATGTTGTATAAATATGTATATACTGTTAAGCCAATGTTGCGTATGTTTAAGTTAAGTATGGTTAAGGGTAAATTATAGAAAGCTGGATATTTTGTTAAGGAATTTATTATACTTTATTATACACAACAAAAACTCTCATCCTTTGTCTACCCTTTTATAGTCCGATTGTCTTTGTTTGTTTAGTTTTTTATTGTTGTTGCCTGTTGGGATCTGGGTAGACTTTTAACTATATTCTAAACCAGTTTCTAAATCCCCAACTCGCAACAAATGGCGACCGTGACAGGATCCGACCTTAAGTGCCATATTTCTTCCCCCTTGTTACTCCTTGTTCATTATTCCTCCCAGTCACTTCTGTTCACAATTGCTTTACGGTGGTTTAAAGTTCCCTTCATATGTGTGTGCATATATTGGTATTATCGTACAGTAAGAGTGACAGACGTAGGATATTAGGTTCCGAGTGTCATAAGGCTTACCTGTCATTACATGTAGGCAGTCATGTAGTAAGTCTTATCGAGTGTAGGGAAGAATCCAGATCTGTTTAATGCCGTACCCTCGCTCCAGAGTAGGCTGTTCCATAGTCACTAGTTTAGGGTGAAGTGATATCTTGGGACGCCCCTCTCTACCAGGACCCCATGATTATAAAGCCTCAATTATTGTTCTTCTCATTATCTCATTCGGGGTCAATAATAAAGTAACTCAAGGGTTGTTTATCCGGATCTTTATATTAATGCCGTAATACGCCCTTCCTGTTTCAAGTATCTTTCCAGGTCTCTTATCCTTATCTAAGGATCTTATCAGAAGAACAATATTCATAAGTGTAATTTCCCTAGGTATAACTTGGGTAGTTTCCGGGACTTTTTGGTTATCCACTGCCGTGATATTTTCTAGGGTAATACACTTATCTTATCTTTTTGGCCATTAGTTAATTTATCTAGTTTTCTTAACAATGACCACCTCAGGTTTTGATCTCCAGGATTTTATTGAAAATCCTTCCGTATCTAAATTACTTGTTAATATCCTGAAGAAAGAATGGAAAAGAATAGCCACCTATTACAATATCCCATATTCACAGCAAATGACTAAGTGTTAAAAAATCGGGTAATTGAGATGTTGGTTCAACAAGAAGTTTTAGAAGAATCAGCTGTTGACCAATTGGCTAGCCCTCAAGAAAAAACACAAAGAGTAGACGCCTTAGAAATAGAACGAGCTAGGTTCGAGTTCCAAATCAAAATGAAAGAACTCCAGTTGGAACAGGCCAAGTTGGAGTATGAGGAAAAGTTGGAACGGGCCAAGTTGGAGCAGGAGGTTAGACTGAAGGAACTACAGGTGAAAGAGACAGAAGTCACCTTAACATCGGAGTTTAAATAAAAAGAAGTGGCATTAAAAGAGAGACTAGCTTTTTTTAACCCTGCTAATTCTTCTTCCCTTGTTCCCGGGTTTGATGAATCCGATATGGACGGGTCATTTAGGACTTTTGAGAAAATAGCCGGGAAGAATGAGTGGCCTAAGGACCAGTGGGTGTCGGTGTTAGTTCCTAAATTATGTGGTAAGGCTCGTAGGTTTTTTAACTGTTTAGACCAGACTGATGATTATGATAACGTAAAAAAGAATATCCTCACCTCTTATGCTATCACGCCAGATAGATATCGGCAGAAGTTTCGTAAACTAACCAAAACATTTTCACACACCTTTGTTGAGTTTGCTCAAGAAAAGCTTAGGTTTTTCAAGAAGTGGTTAGAGGCTACAGAGACCTCCACATTTCAGGATTTATTAAACTTGGTAGTCCTGGAGGAGTGGAAGAGCAAGATACCATTTCACATCTTGAAGCATGTGGAGGAGCGTGGAGAGGTTAATTTAGGGCGTGCGGCTGAGGTGGCTGATGCGTACGCCTTGCTGGTGGAGTCACTGGGCAGTAGGGAACGTGGTACTTTCCAGCATGTTAGGTCCTCCTCTGATGATAACCTTGGGGACGTGAGTGGTAGGTCGAAAGGTCCCACACCTACCCCCCCTGATGCAACCAAGTTTTCTTGTTCTTACTGTAAAAAACCAGGCCATACGATCCAGTCTTGTAAACACCCAAAGTGTCGAACTTCTAAAAGTAGTTCCCTGGATCCCAAATTCAAACCAATAGCAACCACCAATGTGGAAAGGCCCCATCAGGATCTCTTCTCTTCATTCACCTATGAGGGAAAAATTTCAATCATAGAGGGGTCTCGTTCTTTCCGTATCTACAGCATTTACTAATGAGAGTGTTCTAATTTCAGATCTCTCATCCCATTCTTCCTATCCCTTAGCTAAAGTGCACTTCCAATGTCCCTTAATTACTGGGGAAGTGCAAGTAGCCATTAGGAAAGCTCCAATGCCTGTGAGCGGCATTCATTTATTATTGGGTAATGACTTGGTAGGAGATCTAGTGGTTCCCAACATAAAGACAGTCGACTCTCCCTTACCTGTCAACTCCACCACTGACCTTGAAGAAACTATTCCTCACCTTTTCCCATCTTGTGCTGTCACCCGGTCACAGAGTGTGCGAAATGGCCCCTCTTCATCAAAAACCACCTCCAATATCTTCCTACCCACAGAAGATCTGTACAATAAGACCATTAGTAAGGATGAGCTCATTAAAGCCCAACAATCTGATCCATCTTTGAATAAACTTCATCATGCTGCAGTTGAGGGTAAAGATTTTAACACCCTTCCTTGTTTTTATTATCAGGAAGGGGTTTTGATAAGGGCCTATAGACCCCCTGAGCTTACCCATCTAGACACGTGGTCTGAAATACATCAAGTGGTAATTCCCTCCTCAGTCAGACCAGCATTAATTGCCCTTGCCCATGATGGTATTTCAGGACATTTGGGAATCCTGAAAACATATAAAAAGCTCCTCCAACACTATTACTGGTCTGGACTTAGGAAGGATGTGTCAAAGTACCTAAAATCTTGTCATATTTGTCAAATGGTAGGAAAACCAAATGAAAGTATACCAGCAGCTCCCATTAAGCCCATCCCAGTATTTTCTACACCATTTGAAAAGATTGTTGTGGATTGTGTGGGCCCATTACCAAAGACTAAGAAGGGAAATCAATTCCTGCTCACAGTTATGGATACCAGTACACGTTATCCTGAGGCTTTTCCCCTTAAAAGCATCACTTCAAAAAATGTAATCAAACCTCTTTTGCACCTTTTCACTTCAGTGGGCATTCCTAAAGAGATTCAATCCGATCAGGGCACCAATTTTACAAGCAATCTTTTCAAACAGGTGATGAAAGACCTCAGTGTGGACCATTGTACATCTTCGGCTTACCACCCACAATCCCAAGGTTGCTTGGAACGGTTCCATCAAACTTTCAAATCAATGCTAAAAAAATACTGTATAGAACACCAAAAGGAATGGGATGGAAGCATAGACTTGTTACTCTTTGCCATCATGGAATGTCCCCAGGAGTCATTGGGTTTCTCCCCATTTGAGTTACTATATGGGAGGCAAATTAGGGGACCCCTTAAAATAGTAAAGGAGCAGTGGTTTGACACTCCATCTATTAAGCCCGCAACAGTTTCCCAATACATTGACACTTTACGGGACAAATTAACTGATGTCAGAACCATTGCTCAGTCAAACTTTAAAAAAGTCCAAGACAAAATGGTGAAGTCCCAACC